GCAATTTTAGCATTACAAAAGATGCTCGAGCCATTGTCCGTTCCAACGATTTTGAGAGGAATTCGATAAATTTTGCACGCTATAAATGTATGGAGTCGGATTTCGCCATCTGTAGGTCAATATGTCGGGGCCAAGGCAGTTTAATTACCGCTTGGACCCTGGCAGGAGGTGCGCACCGTGCGTATACTTGACGGGTCGGTGCCTGACATGCGGCGCGGCTCAATCAAAAGGCTGTCACGCTGCCCATGCTGGCCATGCTGAGCCGAGGCTACTGCAAAAACTTTGTCAGCGACGCCATAATGAAAAACCACGTTTTCATATCCCCCCCGCCCCCGCCCCTGCCCGCCCACTCGTTCGAAATGTGCCACACGGATCTACGCCCACTTAATTAGTGCCCCGTCTCATTGCCATGCCAGTGTCTGCTTTTGCCTGCCCATCAGCCTTCAGCCTGCCCATCACCCACTCCCCAGTATCCCCATCCACATTGTGTCTGTCTGTCTGTCGGGTAGGTCGCTCTGCAGCTTGATTGTTTTTGGGGTTTGACCCATTTGCGGAAATGCAAAACAAAGGAGGGGTCGGTCGCCTACCAGCCCAGGACAAACAGTGCCGACAGATTGGCTCTGGGTGGTGGGTCCTGCCAACGTTGCCACTCGCGTATTCCGTGTCGTTGCACCGTTGACAGCTGTAATTTCTATGCAGCTTTTGTTGCATTTCCAATGAACATTGACTGACGGGCCAAAGGGACTCATCCCCACACACCCGATCCACTATGCTGGCCCTTCTCTCTCACTATCTCATAATTTAATTAATTAAATTCAATAGCCACCACAGGCGGGTGCAGCAGTGGAGCTGGTCTGAGGTCATAATTACGTCCTGTCGGGCCCCTAACGAGCTGACAATTCAGTGCAGGCCCAGAGCTTGCCACAAAGCCGCCACCAATTAAAATGATCAGAGGGTAGAGATTCTTAGGGGGTTCGCTGCGAAAGTGGAATGGCCACACAGTGGGACCAAATACTCGGTATACCCCGAGTCAATGCTTAAACTTTATCTAGTGGAAAATATTCAACGGAGCTGCTGCTCTTGTGGGTTCCCCCTCAAGCAGCAGCAATCGTATTTATTCGCTCTCTCAACTAAATCCCATTCTGCACATCCAACGTGTTATATTTCATGAAATATCTCTCCAATTTGCCGCCCATTGTGCGGCGGGGCTGCTGCTGGTGTCTTTAGCTGCTGACTTTGTGGCCTGTCTCTCTACTATTTGCTGTTGCACCTCCAAAACGCACAATTATGACTAGTTGGGCGGGGGGCGGGTGCGCGACTCCAACAGCGCCAGAGCTCACAAATTGGCAATTTGACTTGATCCAGTCTGGTATCCGTGCCAGGTCCGTGCCACGCAGCACCGCCCGCACTGCTGGAGACCCGAGAAACGTTGTCCGGGGCCAGTCAATACGATGATTTAGTGCACGGAAATTGTTGTCGCACTGGAGAACTGAAGAACTGAAGAACTGGAGCTGGAGCTAGAGCTTTGGGCTTGGGGCTGTGTGTGTGGTGGGTGCTGACAGTGTCGTCTGGAAATTTGAGCTCTTGTTTTCGCCTGGTTTCATAAAAAACGCATTAATTCTAATTGGCAGCAATTGCATTGAGCCGCCCGCCCGTTGAGCCAGACCCCAGCACTGACTCATAGAACGACCGACAGTCAGACCCACACCACACCACACCATCAACCGTCCCGTCATCAGTGTGAGAAAGTGTTGAACTGGTCAGAGAGAAAGATACACACACTCGCCTGGGCACAAAGAGAGACAGAGAGAGAGACAGGGAGAGAGAGAGAGAGCCTAGCCTGAAGTTTGGTTTGTTTGCCTTTCGGTGCGCGGCGCGGCAAATGTACAAAAGGTAACACAGAAATATAGTTACACTACGATTTAGCGGCAGTTCAATCGATGAACAAATAAAACTTTCTGAGTCTGGGCTTCACCTCTGGGTCTTCTGTGTGTCCTCACAATTCTCGTCTAACTGCTAATTGTGTGTTTTGTGTGACTGGGTCGAATGCGTGCACTTTGTTTTAAGTGCGGCCCCCGATCCAAGGTTGAAAATGTGAAAATTGTGCGCTGAATGCAACGTTTCAGGTGGGTTGACTAGTATCTGGAGGCATCAGCATTTATTCATTATCTTTCCCTGGTAGTATTTTTTATATACATAATTTTCCATGTCCTCAGAACCTTTGGTGCATTCTCTTTGTTTCGCTGTGACTGGGGGGGGTAGAGAACTTAGAGAGAACTTTTCCGTTTGGAAAGCTGTTTTCAATCCCATGCGGCGATGCGCAAAAATCAGAGGCCAAAGAGCGGAATGGAAAACGACTTGCACTTAAAATATCAACCGCAAAGTGTCAAAGAGTTGGACACTTGAAACGGAGCACCCCCCACCCGCACGAGGCGGTGGGGAGAGCGGCATTAACTTTTGGCTTTTCGTAAGGAATTTCGCCCGAGCGATGGCTTAGCGCGGATGCGATGGTGCGGGGATGGTGGTACGTACGGGGCAGACATGCGATAATTAATTGCTTCATTACCGCGCAGCCACTGAAAAGTAATGCAAAGGAGACCACAAGAGGCAGCAGCAGCAGCAGCAACAAATGGGGGCAAGTTTGGTGCTAGTCAGAGTCTGAGCAAGAGAGAGAGCAGTCCGATTTGATGGACGGCCATACACCGGGAGTTTGACAGGGCAGCTAATTGAATTGTCTTCCTTAATGGCAGCCGGAGCGATTTTCAGATGTGTAGCTATCAAGAAATAAAATAAAATTCGACCGCAGAACCCAAAGAAAGAAAGAAAGAAAGCCAGCCAAAGCCGCAAGAAAAGACACGAAATATTAACTCGGTCGCAGGCATTTTCAAAATGGAATGCCCCAAAGGGGGTAGTGGGGGGTGCGGTGTTGAACGAAATAGTTTTGAAAATATTTTCAAATTATTTTATTGCCCCCACGGATGATGTTGAACTAAATGTTTGCCAACTGCCGTCGCGCCGCGCTGGCACAACAACAGAGCCAACAAGACCCGAGAGCCGAGTGCCGAGTGCCCCCCGTTCCACCCACTAATAGTGTCAAAAGTTTAATGATGAGCCACCGGCTGTCAGTTTTTGGGGCCGTTTGCCATTAAGAAGTACAAAGTAGGCTGACGGACTCTGCCTTAATTCCGCTCGTTGCCAGCCATGTTCGTGTGCGGAGCAGCTGTCAGTGAAAAGGAAGTGACAGCCACTGGCCCGGCCCGTCTGTCATTTTGCAGATGGCGGCGTAGCGTCCTGCGGCGTAGATCGCGGACAAAAACAAGTACAAGAGGGGGAGTAGGAAAAAGAGAGAGAGAGAGAGCTAGAAATACGCTTAATTATGGTACTTTACAGGGGGGGAACATATTTGGCAAACCTTTAAATTCTATTCCTGCCCTTCCATGCACATGTCATGGGACATTTTTCCACACATCCTCCCGATCTATTCCTTGAGATCAACGCAACCAACCCTAATCTTGACTATCTGATTCCACAGTGCCATCTGTGGCACATAACCGCACATTTGTGGCCCCTATCTGCAACCCGCCCATGCCTCAATCTCTTCCATTAAATCTAAAGATCTCACATTTGCCTATCAAACCTCAGAACAAACCTCAAACCTGGGGACAGAACAACAGGCTCTACCAACTGTCTCCTTCCGCCCTCTCTTTCCCACTCTCTCGTGAATACACACACACACACACACAGATAGCCATCGGAAGGATCCTCATGTGGCTGACACCTACAAGGGACGGGACCAGCAGCAAATCCGCACATGTTGCTGTAAGACGAGGTGCTCGAGGAAGAGGATGTGTGTGGAGAGGGAGGAGTGCTTGCGTGTAAGCAGAGCAGAGCAGAGATCCGATCCCTATGCATATTCTGGCCACGCTATCGCTCGGCTGCGATCGTGCTGTGGATGTGCCTGGGATTCAGATTCAGATAGCATCAGGTTGGGTTTCTGCCGGCTCACATGTGTGGAAGCGAAGCCCAAATTGCGTTGTTAAAATGCGTAAGGCGTTGACAATGGGCATATCAGCAGCCGCAGCAGCAGCAGCAGCAGCAGCACACATGGTCGGGTTAGTTCTGCCCAGGAGTCTAGTACCAGGACTTGTTCTGGATCGTTTACAAAGGCAAACAAAGAGCTCTCTCTCTCCACCTTATCGAGGATCGGCTAGGCCTCCGAGATGGCCCTATGAAAGGAGTTGATAAACGCTAGCTCTTGGTCTTCGTCTCAGTCTCAGTCCCAGGGGCGATCAATGATAGCCAGACCCGCCCAGAGGAAGCAGCTGCTGCTGCTGCTGCTGCTGCAGCTCAGCACCTACTCGAGTTTGCCAAAAATCTGTCAGCCTTGATCGAGGTGTGAGCTTGGTGCGCATACCCTGTAATTACGGGCCGCGACTTGCGTCCCAGCCCAGCAGGTGTCAAAATAATTAGGCGCCTACTTAGCGTTGGCTGGAACGGATGCTCACAGCTCAGAGGTATCCTGAAAAGAGCTTTCAAGTGTCCGATGCCCGAGCAATTACCGATGATTATCGTCAACACCTTGCACTCAGGGTGTCAAAATGTGCGCAGGGCATCATGCAAAATGGCAAAAGGCACTAAAGCCCGAATACCCCGAAACACTAATTACGTGAGTGGCCCCGTCAGTCAGCCAGTCACTCAGTCAGTCAGTCACTCAGCCAGTCAGTCACTCAGCCAGTCAGCAAGTCAACGAATTGCAGTCTGAAATTATTGTAGCGAGTGTGAAGTTGATAGTCGGGCACCACCATCCACCATCCTCCATTAATCATTTGGTTGTTAACAAGCCGCTTGATGGCAGTGACAGACCCTGCTTGGGTCGAACGGAGTCCGCTCTGAATCTGTTTTTGACTTATCCACCTAATGGCATTTGCTGTTTTTGGAACCCAGAGATCGCACTGGAGTTATGGATATGGGAACACTTTCATTAGAATAATTCTGCAGTATTTTCATAGCTATCCTGGCTTGCATTATATTTTCCATCCAATTATTAATTAGTTAATTAATGGTTTAAATTATTTTCAGGCTTCTTTGTGCTCATTCCTTTGATGTTTTCACTAAAACTCCAGTTTGTCATTTGGCGAAACCTGCAAAGAGGCTTTTTGTGGGGTGTGCAAGCTGTTCGCTGCACCACCTGGAATGCTATAGAGATAGAATCAATCAATCAGTCACTGATCAAGTTTAAGGTCATGATTTTACTTACTTTTCAAGCTATTTGCGGTTTGTTGCCTGTTGAAGAGATTGCGAATACACTCGTTGGCAAAGGTGATGTAGCATGTTCCATTCTTGCCACACAGCGGACCATGTGAGCCCGGGCACGCCTCGTGGCCATTTATTGTTATTGTACAAAAAGCCAGCACTAAGAAAAGTATTTTAAATTTGAGTTTTTCGTTGCTGTGGAAACTGCAAATACCATTTAATAGAGCCAAATAGAACCGCATCTTGACACGGCCTGTAGATTTTAGATTTCAGATGTGTTGGTTCCACTTGAGGTGCAAAAATCCATCTCCATGGCTGCATGTTTGAAATTGATTTGTGCATGCTACTTAGAGATTACTGTACTGACTACTGTTAGCAATTAGTGCCACTCTTTTCGTAGTATGAGAAAATGCCTCGTAGTACGAGATATTTTGGCACGATAAAAAGCGAATTGATTAAGGCTCATTTAAGCCACGAATTGAGCCGCAATAAATAACACAATTAACGATTAAAATACCCGATGCGCTGCGATGCCCAGTAACCTCTTTTTTCGAGTTATTCGCGCTCACTTTACCCACTTTCACCGTATCTATGTACGAGTATCTCGTCTTGTCGCTTCTCTTGTTGGCTTTGTCGCTTTGCCTTTGCGTTGCAGTGTTGCGGCCAACTACTAACCCAGTGGCTTGGCTTGGCTTGGCCTGGCCAGGAGCAGTCTGATTAATGTTTATGGTCACACCTCCATCTCTCTCTTGGAGTGCTGCTGCTGCTGCTGCTGCAAAGGTGCCAAAATTTTACACCTGCAACACACGCAAAAATTGCAAGTCAGACGTGGCCAAAAGGCAGCAACACAGCAACAGCAACTGCGGCCCTGAGATACGAATGCGGCGGAGTCCCAACAGGAAGCCATAAATAAAAATTAGACAACGCGTTATAAGAACTACTGTCAGACAACATATGATTTGGAAACAATTTTCTAACGCCGACTGAGGATGGGATGGGACCGCGCTTCTTTCCATTCCCAGACCCAGTTCCATTCCGATTCCAATTCTGAGTCGGTCGCTGCAGGTGCCTTGGCTGCCTGGCTGCCTGGCTGCTGATTGGCCTCCATTTAACGCTGCGTGAGTTGGCTCGCTCTCTCGCTGTTCTGGCGCCCTTAGCCACGGCAGTTTTTCTAGGCGTTAACTGTAGTTCGAGGGGCAGGCGGCTGGCCATGAAACAAACGCAGCAGGATCTGGCACCTCAGCGGCAACGGCAGCCAGCCAGCCAGCGGCACCGACTTGCAACTCGATGCGGATGCGTTGCCAAAAGTGTTTTCCTAAATTATGGGTTCGCTTTTTTTTTTTTTTTGGTTAATTAAAAAGGTTTGGGCGCAGCTGATGATGATGATGCTGATGATGAAGGATATCCTTGAGTTGACCAGCAACACCTTCGGTTCACAGCTCGCTGTGATACGGCGCCGGCGGGCAATTAAAGTCTTGTTATAGTTTGTAATACACGTTTATGTGCACGCTCCCTCCGTGGATCATTTTTATATTATGAAAATAAAAAGTGAAAGGAGAGGGGGACTGCAACTGCAACTGCAACGGCGACTGTGCCGTGCCTACCTCTGGCTTTGCCCGACTGATCTGCAATTAGTGATCAACTCTGGGATTGGCGAATGCATCCCAGCTGCCAGCCAAATGATGATACTCACAAAGCGAACCGCACCAAAAGGAATCACTTAAACTGATGACAATCAGCTGGGGGGGCACTTAGACATCGACTCGTCGCAGATCTTTGCGTAAATTGATATTTTCCACGCTTCAAAGAGAGCTCAACGAGAAGGAGATGGATTCCCAAGTCTAACCACATCAAACGATGACAAAAAGATGACATAGAGAGGCATTCTTTGGTTTTCGGTTCTCTCAGTCTTCTCTCGATTCCCATTCTCGATCGTTATCACATCTCGGGCCCTGCCCTGCCCTGCCCTACCTGTGTTCCAACAGAGATAACCACAAATTGTTTGCTGGCTGTCTGCCGAGGCTGTTTTCAATGTTATTTCAATATTTTTCCTTGTGCGTTTCCTTCAGATTCCCATCAGCATGCATCGTTGTCCTTTGGGTTCGTTCGGGGCATTGTCAACGGCTCTTTGTCAACGCAATGTCTGTCTGTGGAGGGGGCTTGTGGCTCACGTACGAGGCCGGGCATGGAACTGGGAATGGGCCTGGGATCTTCTGGAACCTGGAACCTGGGTGGAGTTGGACAAACCGCCGGGGCAGTTACCCAGAGATTGCCTATGTCTTTGTTCTAGCAGATATCGATCATTAGATAGTTGCCTCCTCCATTGTTTCCATGCGCCTCTGCCTCTTGTCCCTTTGTGTCCCCCTGTGCCTGTTTGTTTTCTTCTCTCTCTCACACACACACACACAGACAAGTATATTTGGACATGTCTCGGCTGTCCTACGTGTGTCCTATGTCATCAATTATTATGTAAGTCTTATGTGTTTGCGATGCACAGGTCTAGGAGGGCTTGGCGCACATCGGCATTCGTGGAATCTGTCGCATGCCCTGCCTCCACCTCCGCTGCCAGCAGTCGTGGTCCTGGCCCATGATTAACTGGAAATATTTTGGGGCGTGTGTGTGTGTGTGTGTGTGTGTTTGGGCCATGCATCTTCCCTAGTGTATCTCGCAATGTTTTGATTAGATGTTGATTTGTGTTTCTGGTCGGTAAATACCTTAGGAAACCCTAGGAACTTTCATAAACTACATTTTCATATTTGAAATCATGAAATTGGAGCAAAAAGGAGTGGCGCAGTCGCCTCTCAATAGCCAATTGGCAGCCTGTGTACGGGGTGAGGGGCACGGGGCACTCTTTAAAGGGGACAATCCCAATGCAAAAAATTATCAACTTTTTCGATAAACGTCTCGTGTGCTGCTGGCCACCAACTAACTGTAAGTACTGCGGGGAAATTGTAAACTGATACCATTAGTGCGGTCAGCTCAAACTCTAACTGATACTCCACCGCATGGTATCGTGCAGCATGCAACACGTGCTCGAATGAGTTATGCCCCGGCAGAGTTCTTGGCTTCAATATATGCAACAGACTCTGGCCCTGACTCTGAGAAGCTCTTCAGACGCTTTCTATGTGCTCCTCTGTGGCCTCTTGAGGCCATCTCCTGGTCATCTTTTGCTAACGAACAGACAGAATGCTTGCACGCTCTGGATGGCCAGGACTAGTCTGGGCGATGAGGCAGTTACGCAACGGCAAATACTTATGAGAGCCAGAGCACCACAGATCTGTGAATGTCAGCGATGATGGCCCTCCAGCAGCAGAGCAGCACAGCCTCATTCCTGTCGTCGATAATAAATAAATATGTGTCTATGCGGTGGCATGCCAGCAGAGGATACAAGGCATGGAGAGCCAGCGCCAGCGCCTGCTCCTTGGCAAAGAACAACAAAGCAGGTGACCAGGTAAGAAAACTATTACCCGTCCAGCATGTCTGCGAGGCAAACAAAGGGCACAAAATATAATATAGAAAAAAAAAAATACATGGAACAAAAATATAATCGAAATAGAAATAGAATCGGGGGGAGGGGAACTTTATGGCATCAACGTTTTGTGGCTGGGTCTCCAGCACGGAGGTCCGTATAATAAGGACATTGGACAGAACCCTTGACTTGTCGTGGCCCTGCCCCAGCCCAGCCCTGACTTGTCTGCGTACTAATGATGACACACATTTCATATCTTGATCCCTGCCAAGGACTCGAAACGCAATCGGACACTGCGCGCTTGTCAAAATATAAAAAAAAATAAATAAATTGAAGCACATGCTGGAGGGGCTCCACAATACTATTCGCATTGTGATGCGTACTCCAGTAAGACGGGAGCAGAAGCAGAAGCAGGAGCAGGAGCATGGCCAGGACGAGCAAGGAGTACGCTCACTGGCAAGTAGGTAGACACTCCACTTGCCCCACGCACAGAGACGCACAGACACAGAGACGCAGAACTGTGGGCGGTGACAAGGACTATCAGCGGTTTATGATCTCGGCTCTCGAATAATTTGTTGTGGACACTGCCAACTGGTTATCTGCGAGAGTGGGGCGTACAAATTGGCTACCTACGGAGTCCCAGGTTGAGGCTTCCCATGGCTCGACTACTGTTCAGGAGCACAGCTCCTTACAGGTGCTCGAACTACTACTGTGCGATGATGCTGCTTGCTGCAGCTGCAAGACTCTGTTGGAATCCGTTTTAATGAACTTGGACGAGGGTTTATTTCGTTTGAACTGCAACGAAGATGATTAAATTCGATATTCTCCACTCCTCCATCCCCCTTTCAAGTGCATTCAATTATGCGAACCAAGGACCAGAGGTCAGGGCTCAAGAGTTCACGAAATTTGTCATTTCCCCAAAGATTGAGAATCGTGAATTATGAATTATGAATTAAGAATTAAATTTGTTGTTGTGGCACTCGTGTACGCTCATGTAAGCATGTTGCATCTTCCTTAATTATTTCAGCAGCTTTTTGGGATGCTTTCAATGTTTAACATTTGATTGATGACAAGCACAAATTTGTCCGAGCTGCGGATACAGACATCTGAACACTTACCCACAACAACAACAACAACTACATGTTGATGAATGAATCAACGAGTGAAATTCTAATTCAATTTCAAATTGAAATCCAAACACACAGCTGTTCCAGCAACTGAAATTGGCCAAGTGCAACATTATTCGGTGGCGGTGGCGGGAGCGGTGCGGCGTTGAGAAGGCGTTCTAGGCAAACAGATAATAAATCATAATTCACAGATGAGTTGTTGCATGCATCAAAACAATACCGAGCCGCGCTTCGACATTTTTGGGGTCTTGTGGAAAGTTCTGATCTATGCGAGAGTATTCTGAAGAGCAACAGCAGCGGCAGCAACAGCAACAGCCAAACAGCCAAACAGTACAACAATTCTTTTCAAATGTCAAAAATTAAGTTATGACAGATGACCGGCCGCTCGGTTGGACATTCCTCCATTGCTATCCTCCTGTCTCCTCATGTCGGCTGTCATCTCATCCGCTGCTTTACAGCTTTGGGCGCGTTCATAAATTGTTCAAAAGTTTCATTCATTTGGCTCTCATTTAAAGGGCGGTCCCCATATATAAAACGTATCCGAACAAGGGCACGGGGCCGTAACATGATGGATTAGTTTCAAAAATGCCCGTCGTTTTTCTACTTAGTTGGACATGTGAGAACAGTCGTTGGAGCTTGGAGTCAGTGGAGCTGGAGTTGGAGGTGGAGTATGCTGATGATAATCGCAGCGCTTTTGTGAAATTGAGCTGTGAACCACGTTCG